AATGTTTTTTTTTTTTTTTTTTTTTTTTTTTTTTTTTTTTTTACACTAAAGATACTTCCAAATTTGATGCTGATAAATATAATATTTCGGAGAGAGAGAGAGAGAGAGAGAGAGAGAGAGAGAGAGAGAGAGAGAGAGAGAGAGAGAGAGAGAGAGAGAGAGATTGGGAGACAAGGAGAGAGAAAGAAAAGGAAATACATACAAGGATTATAAGATCGAGGAAAAAGCAAAAGACAGGAAAAAGAAAATAATAATAATAACATTAGTAGCAGTAGTAGAAGTAATAATAATAATGATGATGATAATAATGAAACCAATAAAAATAATAATAACGGCAAAAACAACACCAAAGAGCAAAATTGGTAAGAACGAGAGAACACAAGAGCGAAAAGAGAGAAAAGAGAAAACAATACCACAGAAGAGAGAGAGAGAGAGAGAGAGAGAGAGAGAGAGAGAGAGAGAGAGAGAGAGAGACAGATAGATAGACAAACTATTCAATCCTCACCGCCAGGATATGCAGATCCACAATCCTCCTCGGCTGTGCTGCGCGGGTGCTCATCCTCCTCTTCCCATCCCGTGTGACCTCGAGGGCGACATCCTCTCCTTCCTTTTCCTCCAACTCGGAGTCCTTCGGGAGCGTCTCGTCCTTGGCGAAGACCACGTCCTTGGCAGATGCATTCCCAGCATCCCTTGAAGGAGGAGATGCAGAAGGATTAGGATAGGAAAGTGAAAAGGAGATGTGAGTAGGGAAGTAGGGACAGGGGCTAGAGGTCACATTTCAACTCATCCTTGACATATCCCCCCTTAGATAACTCCCTATTGATAAACTCTATATGAGAATATTTGATTTTAAATCGGGTGTTCATACCCTGTGTCTATAGGCCTATATATATCTATACCCTGTGTCTATAGGCCTATATACACTGTGTCTATAGGCCCATTTACGCGAAATAAAACAAACATGATTTTTATCGGTACTGTATTTTAAGTAATGAAAATGAAGTGTTTTACGTATGTTCCTCTCCCTCTCTCTCCCTTCCCATCTCTTATTCTTTCCCTTCTCTCTCTCTCCCTCCTTTCCTCACCCCCCTTAGTTTTACTAGACCTAAACACTAGGAAACGACCTATTTACGAGAACTACCTCGTCGTTTTGTTGTAATTCGTTTCCCAAGTTTCCCCAAAATCATTCCCACGAGAGTACTACTTCAGAATTAAACTTTCGTTGTAACATTTATTTATTTATTTATCATTATTATTATTTATCGTTTTATTGATTGTCAAAACTACAGAACAAAATGCGTCTTGTATCCATTCACTAAAGGGCGTGTCATTTAGTTTCCAAATACGAAAGGATTCCGTATTTCAAGGGACGGTTGGCAATATAGGAAGGTGTATGTTATTTTTGTGTTTGGTCTTGTTTTGGGGTGTATGTGTGGGTTTATTTATTTTTTGTTTGTTGGTTTATATGTGTTCGTGGTAGTCTGTGTGTGTGTGTGTGTGTGTGTGTGTGTGCGTGTGTGTGTCTATGTGTGTGCGTGTGTGTGTCTATGTGTGTGCGTGTGTGTGTCTATGTGTGTGCGTGTGTGTGTGTGTGCGTGTGTGTGTCTATGTGTCTGCGTTTGTGTATATGTATGTACATGTAGGTATATGCGTATGTGTATAAGTATATCTATGTATACGTCCGTATTTGCATTTACTTATCTACGAATTATAAACCCGAACGCAAATCTCCCCCCGAGTGTCCACCCCACACTTCGAACACCACGTATATATCCACATACACACCTCCGTACCTTCCCCAAATACAAACCTTCTGTAACGGGCTTCGCTGTAATCTTCCACGGGAGAAAAGACAAACACAGCATCCTCCGTCTCTTGGCCGTTAGGAGCGTAAGCGAAGGAACCGGAGTCCTCGTTCCCATCCGCCATGGCACGCGCGCCGGCCTCGTTCACATCCTCCAGGAGCAGAGCGCGGGTAGCGGCGTTGGCGGCGGCGAAGTCGCTGGGAATCCTGAAGAAGTGAGTTTTGGATGTTAAATTGAGGATTGAGGAGGAGGAGGAGGACGATATTGGTAATATGATATATCTATCTATCTATTCCTCTGTCTATCTATATATATGTTGAGTTGATGATTGATGATGAGGAGGAGGAGGACGATATTGATGATATGATATACATCTATCTATCTATCCCTCTGTCTATCTATATATATGCACATCTATCTATCTCTCTATATATGTACAGTATATGTGTATGCTGTATATATACATATATGTATATGTATATATTTATATATACACTTATACATATATATATATATGCATATATA